CAAGGACTTTTTGACGGCTGAATAACGTCATCCTGAAGCATCTTTCGCACCTGACTTTCTATGGCCTCACGTTCCCGCGGAGCTACTCGGTATGAGTTCTGCCGTATGGGTCTGGCCGTTTCATCCGTAATTATGAGATGTTTCGTCAACGGCGTTTGGCGAACTCTGGACGTTGAAGAAAAACAGTCCTGAAATTCATTAATAAGTTTCAGAAGGCTTTGCTTCTGCGGGGGCAGTAAACTTGGGCCAACGTCGATGGATAGAGGGGCTGAGCCGGCGACATCGGCTTTCTCCACAGTAAAGCAGCTTGCAACCTCAATGAGCTCCTCGACGTACACGGCTGCCATACCTTTTGCAAGATGTTGTCGCTCAGTACTGAAGTTCGTAACCAGAACATGCGTGTGTCCGCAATTGAGGCTTATGACGGCTCTTGCAATAGATAAGCCATGGCTGAATAGCAATGCTGGAATTTGTTCAGCGATGTGGTCAAAGTTGCCTGGGTGGTCGCATGTTACAGCTACGAGAGCACTTGAACGGGGTGGAAGGGTCACGTGATCTTCGAAGACTCGCAGATGTTTACGCTGCTGGTCGTTACATCTCATATCTGGAACTTGATCTGGGGCCATCAAAAATGTAACTGACCTGTCTAGAATGTCTATGACGGCGCCGTATTCACAAAGGAAGTCCATCCCCAAGATAAGGTCTTTGCAACACTCAAACAAAATCACGAACGTGGCAACGAAAGCTGAATCACCGATACTAATTCTGGCAGTCCACTTTCCAGTTGGCGTCATCAGTTGGCCCCCGCGGTTCTTATGTTAGGCCCCGTCCATGATGTTTAACTTTTTTAAGCCAATCAGCAAGCTTTCTGCTCATGATAGAGAAATCTGCGGCAGTGTCTACTAGCGCTGTCACAGGGCGTCCGTCTATGTGAACAGCTATGTCGGCGCTTACGATTTCCTGTGGGGTCAGCGGCGTTGCATGGTTCGTCGTATCGTACTGGTACTGGAGGTATTGCAGCATCTCGACCAGTGGCAACCTTCCCTCCAAAGGTTGCAGCTGTTAGTTTCCCCGATGAGGGCTTGGGGACCTGCCCTGGACAGCGTCGGCGTAACTGCGACGGCTGGGCGAAGGTGACGGAGAGCGGGGTCGATGATACAGAGCGGATGGCTGTCCCTGCGAGTGCGCGCTGTCACGTGGTGTCGAAACGAGGTCGTGAAAAAGTCGGTGCATAAGTCGGGTATCTTTCTTCACGATATGGACAGATGCGGTAGACATGTCCAGCTTCTCCGCAATTGAAACACAGTGGACGGCGGTCGACGGTGCGCCACAGATCCGTCTTCCGAACGAATGGTCGACTGGTAGGCACCCTCGGCAACCAAGTTGCAGGTGTCGGCGGAGGGTAGAACGGCGGGTAGAATGGAGTTTCAGTAGGTGCGTTATATTGCGGAGTCGCCGTCGTTGGTGGTGGTGGTGGGGTGGCGGCGGTGGGTTGTAGACTGGTGGCGCCAGCGTGTCGTAAGAATGAGCCAGTGCAAACGAGTTATGCGGCACTGGCGACAGACGACTGGTGGCTGCCGCGTAGTTAATAGATCGCTGGGTGGTAGTGATTTGGGCTGGGAAAATGCTTGCCTGATTTCCTGCCGCTCAACTTCTCCAACTGAAGCCATCGCCAGTTCTTGCGGAGTCACAAGGAAGTTGCGGATCTCCTCACGAACAACCTCGTGAATAAGCTCACGAAGAGCCGGCCGTCAGAGCAGAGACGCTGATTGAGGCACCGTTTGGTCGGTCGTAATAGCGACATCGTTGCTGCAGTGTGGGCTCGATAGCTGTAGCCTCTTTGATTAATCCGCAACGGTCGTCGGTGGATTGCGGAGAAGGCCGGCAAACAGCTGTTCTTTGACGCCTGGCATCAGATGGCGGAGTTTCTTGGCTTCAGGCATATCAGGTGTCACAGGTCCCGTTAATTCGGGAGGCGATCGCCGGGCTAATTACAAGGGCCGACGTATCGGCCCCCGAACCGCACCACTAAAGCGTGGACAATTTAGAAGTGGTCCTTTTTGGCGCGCCAGCGGACGCCGGCTGTGGCCCAAAGAACAAGTCAGAGCCGAGAATTGATAACCAAACAAAATATATTCTCAATAATGGCAGATCAAAAAACAATACACAAGTATGCACACTCCACAATAGTTGCATACAATATGTCACCAATCAAACAACGTACTACACAGTACCATCAGCCACACTCGAAACAACGGACACAGACAACAATACGCACTACAATGCAGTCGCATACATTGGACAACCAAGACACTTAAAGACTAAAGAGATAGAAAACCTATTCAGTCCAAAGTTCTTGGAACAAAAGTCTGGATGATACCCTTCCGAGAATCACTCACTCAAAGTCCAGCGTTGTTGTCGTTCCGCTGACCCCGAAGTTCTCTTCCAGGAAACCTCGCCGAAGTTTCTCTTCCAGAAAAACCTCGCGTCTTCAATTGGCCACTCTCCAAGCTTCAAACTTCTTCGCCGGAAACACGTCGGCTTCGCACACGCAGCTGTTGCCACGCGTCTTCGCTCGATAGCGGTAAACACACACACTCTTGCTTGTAGCTCGAGTCGTCACCCCTCAGGTGGAAATCATCTTCTCCTGCTTTGTCTCTACGGGCAAAACCTTCGCCGACTACACGGCGGAATACCCTACGCGCTCTGGCGCTAACTTCCGCCTTCTCCTGATCTCTCGTCTCGGCTGCTCGATTAAATACCTTCCGCGCGAGATTCCAGAAAGTTCTCATCATTTTGTCAGCGCGATGCGCAGCGAAGGCTGGGGAGAGGGCGAGACGGTTCGTAGGCCGTCCGCGACGGATGACGCAACCCGCATCACCACGCCCCTTTCCATCGAGAATCTTCTGGGGCCTGCTCGGCCGCCGACACGAGGAGGTTCGTCGGCAAACCTACGCTTCCGGGGGAGAGGGATGCGCGCCCGGGGGGGGGGTCTCCCTGGATGCTTGTTTTCTTTCTTTTCTTTTTTTATCGTTGACCTCTCAGCGCTTCATCGCGAGAATTTGGCGGCGCGCCCTTTTTTGAGCGCTCGTTTTGTGACACAGGGTCAGCCCGTCCAAATAGGCGCGTCATGTCCTCGCAAACATGGCGACACTTTCATTCAGTTTCTGGACCCGAGACTCGATGAGTTGCTGAGCAAAGTCACGGTGGTGTTGTTTGCGAAGGTGCTGAGAACTTGGTAGCGAAATTCATCCCATGAAGACAGCGTTGCTTCGTGGTTCTCATACCACGTATGAGCGCTGTCTGCTAAAGCAAAGTAAGCGCGAGAAAGCTTTAACTCGGTGGTCCAGCGGTTTGCCTTAGTGACTCGCTCATACTGGGCTAACCAGTCCTCAACGTCTTCATACGCCTCACCATGGAATGTTTCCGGAATCTGAGGCTGCTCAAAGTCAGCTGCGAAGCACCTGCAGTTGCCATTTCTCCAGGCGGAGTACTATGCTGGGAAAGTTCCAGGGGAATCGCCTCAGGACTAAGGCCTCGCTGTCGGCGACTGTAGGTGGACAGGGGTATCCACTGAAGGAACGGGTTGCGGTGTCGGACTTGAAGTGCCGGGTCGCGGAGGAGTCCGAGCATCAGTCGTAGAAGTCCAGCACCTCCACCAGTGTCGCAACGTGCAAAGAACAGGACACAAGGCTTCCTTTCGACGTTAACAGCAAGGCTCTATTGGCACACAAAAACAAAGGCAAGAGCAGACGTGCAACGTCGTCTTCCTCGAAAACGCCAGAGACCACCACACGTGATGCTGGCTTCTTCCTCCTTTGTGCTTACGGCTAATAACCGTGATAAAATATAAATATATATATCTATATATATATATTATATATATATATATATATATATATATGAGTGTGTGTAGAAAGAGAGAGAGGACAGAACAAATAATTTAGAGACTGCACTGAATCCGCAAGCTTCCAATGTGTTATGAGAGGCATAATGCCGCAAAAGAAACACATACAGAAAAAAAAACGAAGCTAGGCACAAGGACAAATGTGCGATATTATCATTTCGTTTCCTCTGTGTTCATTTCATTGAATTGGTCAAGTACGTCACTAAACTACCAAGCTAAACGAACAATGAGTATTGTTCGTATCATTGGAGACATTTAATTTTGTTTGAATAAAAAGATAAGAGCAAACATTAATGTGAAATGTAACTTCCATTGCCACATCAGGATGATCACTGTACGTTTTATGTGCACTGCAGGACAAAAACATGTTGGAACTATTTCTAATTCACTCTGCCCCGCAACAACCTCCTAATTTCTTGATTATGTAGCTGTCCTTGACCATCCCTGCGCACGGCCAGGTTTTTGATATCTTGGTATGCATTCCGGTATTCCAATAAACATAGTTGTCCTTCACATTACATGACCTGTCCCGGTCATGTAATGTCGCAGTGGGTGCCGAGCCCAATTATGAGCTTAGTGATGAACACTGAATTTTATTGCGCTGTAAATATTCCGTAACATGTTCCTACTTTTTCTTTCGTTTCATTAAAATTATTCCACCTGGGCCAAGCACTCATTATACAAACTTGCACATAACAAACTATAAGCACTCCAAACAAAGGCTCAAACACGGAAGTAATTTTGTTTTCCCGAATACTATCAGCAAATACCAATAACGATTTATTCTGCCTTCCGACTATTTACTTTTATACTGTAGAAACTGTATTTCAATTGCATTGCCGTTTTTACGCCCCGTATTCTGCTTTTTGTGCAGGATTAAACAGACTGACACCTGAATTGAAGTCATTGGCAATTGGATTAAACACGGTGGCACTTGGATTAAGTTTTGGCACAAGGATTAAATAGATAGGCACTCAGATTATTTCAATGGCGTGTAGATTATTTAAGCTGGCACTTGAATTAAAGTGAGCGGTAAAACCTGTCGTCTTCTTAAAGCACACACATGTGTTACAATTTTAAGAAAGCAGACTACCTCATCAGCTGGCTCAAGGTTTTCCAGGCATCCATGCTTAAACTGAGCTCCAGGAAACAGCAACTATAACAAAAAACATGCAGAAAAGATTGTTAATAATATACAGCAAAAGTACCAAGCTGAAATTTCACAATTTCTTTTACATCAAAATTACTTTGACACAGCACCATGACAAATAAAAGAAAAACATTGCTGGGGAGGATACCTAAGCATGAAAAGAATGAAAAAACATTTCACAGTGTACATCATTTTATTACTCAGTAGTTTCTACATTTCTTTAGGTCATATTAAAATGATGCATATATTTGTTTCATGCTTATATTATGCCAGCTAACAATATTATGCAACCACTGCTAGGGCCCGACATGCCTGCTATTGTCGATTATAACCAGACAGCATGTGCTAGTGGGAAGGCAATATACATGCTAGAACCTACACGAGCATAAGGAATGCAAGTGCACAAGAACTATGGACACCAATTTCATTGCTGTTTGAGTGCAACCTACTTTTTGGAGGGCATAAAGTCACATTAAAGTTTAACCTTCAATTAAAACCTAGGCTGCAAGGAGTGCTCATGATCAGAGGCTCTCACCACAAGACGCATAAGAACCCTCCCCCCAGTTGGCTCGGATCCGTGGTGTTACAACACACACCAAATGCTTGCTTGTGCAGATGTCCCTGCGGGGATTTGAATCGTGCTAGATATCACGGATACTTATAGTGCATCAGTTGCGTTTTGGGTCTCGAAATGCTACTAGGAAGTTGATAATAACTTGTAGATAGAAAAATCTCAACATGAGTAAATTAATGTCAGTGCTCCTTAAAAAGCAGCGAAATCACCTTAAAAAATGAATTCATACCCGTTTACTTCGCTCAAACGGTTACATTGCCACAGTCAGGTCCTAAATAGCTTGCAAGGCCTACCGATTCACTTATGTGGAATTTCTGTGCTCACAAACGTTCTTGTGATTACATTCAGTGACTGCAGGAAACTCAGCCGATTCTTCCTAGCTGCATGCACCAACTTGCCTACAATGCTCACACTGTCCCTGCCAAGGCACTTGCTGTGGCGTACTTAGCAAGCACTCCAGCAGAGCTTGTTTGTCACACTACTCAGTTCCTGATCACACATGGTTGCAGTGATGGCAAGCTTTTTACATTCCCGAGAGGAACATCAGTGCGGCGCAAATAGTAGTCTCCACACAAAGAAGTGCCAATGAACAACAGCGCAGCGTATGCGAGTTTTCGCCTATGAAATGCGTGCATTGTCCTCGAAACTGTAACAGGTCCCATGCCCTGCCGAGCAGTTCTTACAAAATGATTATTGCAATAGGGTTTTCAGCGATCAAACTGTATTGGCATCACCTTTATGCATTTTCGGTGCTTATCCTTACAGGCATCGCTGCACTACACTGTGACAGTGGCCCCTTCCGATTATTAATACTGTAGCAGATATAACAACCTCACAACAAGGATGTTCTATTTACAAGTTTTAATAAGGGCGAACTTGTGCCCCAGCAAAAGGAATGACACAATAGCTGGGAAAAGGAACCGAACGTCCGTAGTCCTTGCGAACCTCTGCCTCGAGCACCGTCGTTTTCGTCTTCACGCGCGCTGGCCGCTTGGTCGAAGCTCGTGCGCATGCAGGACCCGCTCGGCCATTGCGGCTGGCTTCGTCTCTTGTAGCGGTGCCGTCAGCGCTTCTCCTGATCGCGATGTCTGCCTTACACAGAGCATTGGCAGTTTCCCGTGGCATTATCCCCCTCTCAAGCGGCATCCACCCGATGCGTGCAATGCGTTGTAGCGTAGCAAGCGATTGGTGTGCTAGTCTTCGTATCGGTCGTAGTAGGGTTTCATGCGTACAATGTGTACGCGCTCCGTGGGATTGCGTCGTCTCGAATGCACGTGGCCTGCGGCTTGACTTCATAAACGAGTTCACTGAGTCGGTGTACTATCTGGTGTATTATCTCATATGGGCCGAAATATCGGCAAATGAGTTTTTCAGACAGGTCTCGTGCGTACTGGGGCCCATATCCACACTTTGTCGCCCACATCATACCGCGTTTCACGTTTTCCCCGGTTGTAGCAATCTGCGTCGAGCCGTTGTTGGTGGTATATTCGGTACTTGCTAACTGGCGGACCTCTTCCGCTCTTTGTATAAAGTCGTCCAGATCAGGGAGATAGTCGTGTTGGTCTATCGGTAACATGGCGTCCAGTGTTGTGGTAACTGCACGATCGTAAACAAGTTGGAACGGGGTACCTTGGTTGTCTCTTGTACGGCAAAGGTGACATATGGTAAAATTTCGTCCCAGTTTTTGTGCTAGACATCCACATACATAGATGTCATGTCAGCAAGAGTTTTATTAAGACACTCCGCCAGGCCATTGCTTTGAGGATGATATGCAGTTGTTTTTCTGTTAATAGTGTGAGTCATATTGAGAAAGCACTTCATAAGTTCTGCTGTGAAAGCCGTTCCGCGATCAGCACGTTGTTGAGTACAAAAAAATTGGCTACTTCAGCCCCCGTTCCCCATTCCAAGGAGTCTGTTTCAGCATATCTCGTTAAATAATCGGTCGCGACCATGATCCATTTCCTGCCAAATGAAGACGTCGGGAAAGGTCCAAGGAGGTCCAATGCAACTTGTTGGAAAGGTGCTTTCGGTGGGTCTATAGGTTGTAGAAGGCCCACCGGTTCAGCACTAGGTTTTTCCATCTTTGGCATTCGGGGCATGTCTTTAGTGCTGTATTGAAGATAAGAGCTTGGGCCAATAGTAGTGCAACTGATTCTTGCAAGCGTTCGAGTCATGCCCAAATGTCCAGACGTGGGCTCATTGTGGCACGCTCGTATTATTTCTTGTCACACATTTGTAGGAAGGACAAGCAGGAACTTTTCGCGGTTGGGCCTAAAGCTTCTCTTGTAGAGAACATTTTTCTAGAGGCAGAATGATGTGAGGCTTCAGGAAAATATATGCGGCACTTGTACATCGACTCCTTGCAGGTGTTTGATGAGAGGGGGACTATTCTTCATCAGCGCGGTGAAATTCGGCTATTTGAGTAGTTTTGACAATACCTACGAACGGAAAGTCCTCGTCTTCTAATAGTGCTGTGTCTACAGGCGCCCGTGACTAACAGTCAGCATCGGTATGCTTTCTCCACGATCGGTATACCACGGTTATATCATATTCTTGCAGTCTGAGGCTCCACCTTGTTAGTCATCCGGATGGATCCTTGATGTTCGCCAGCCAGCAAAGGGCATGATGATCGCTGACTGCCTTGAATGGCCTACCATATAGACAAGGCCAAAATTTACTGATGGCCCAGATAATGGCAAGACATTCTTTCTCTGTAGCCGAATAGTTGGTCTCTGCTTTTGTTAGAGTCCGGCTGGCATAAGCTATGACCTTTTCTTCGCCATTCTGCCACTGTATTAGAATGCATCCAAGGCTGATGTTACTAGCATCTGTGTGTATTTCCGTGTCAGCTGTCTCATCAAAATGAGAAAGAATTGGGGGCTTTTCCAACCATTTTTCGTAATCGTAATTCGTTGAAGGCGCTCTGTTGCTCATTTTGCCACTGAAAAGGCTGATCTTCCCTCGTGAGTTTCGTTAAAGGCTCTGCAATTTTCGAGAAATTTCGGAAAACCGTCTAGTACGCACACGGACCTAAAAATCTCCTTACTGACTTTTTGTCTGTTGGTACCGGAAGCCTTGCGACGGCTTCTGTCTCTTCGGGATAAGGTCGAACACCTTGGGTGCTGACGACGTGCCCAAGAAATCGAAGTTCTTCGAAGCCAAACTGGCACTTCTCTGGCTTGATAGTCAAGTCTGCCGAACGAATTGCTTCTAACACAGAGCGAAGGCGCTTCATGTGCTCCTCGAATGTTGCGGCGAAGATGACCACGTTGTTCAGGTACACTAATCAACACTGCCACTTCAATCCGGAAAGTACAGTGTCTATCATCCGTTGGATTGTTGCCGGCGCGCAACAGAGTCCAAAGGGCGAGCCTTAAATTCAAACAGCCCGTCCGGGGTAATAAACGCAGTATTCTCACGATCATGTTCATCAAATTCGATTTGCCAGTATCCACTCTTGAGATCTAGTGATGAGAACTTTGCACACCGAAGTCGATCTAACGTGTCGTTGATGCGCTGAACGGGGTATACGATCTAACGTGTCGTTGATGCGCTGAACGGGGTATACATCTCGTTTAGTCACAGCGTTCAATTTAATTTCGGTAGTCGACACAAAACTATAGCGTGTTATTTTCTTCTTGACAAGCACCACGGGAGATGCCCACGGACTGTTAAAAGGCTGGATAACACCATCTTGAAGCATCTCCTGTACCCGATTCTTTATAACTTCCCTTTCCTTCGGTGAAACATGATACGGGTGCTGCATACTGGCCTGGTTGTCGCATCCGTTATAATCCTCGTGCATCATCATCCCGTTACATTATCATCGACGACTTGTAGTGGAGTATTGTATCACTCTTCTACTTGTGCTGCTCTTATAGTGTGGTTCCGTCGAAAATGACACACTTGACCTCTGCAAATTAATAATGGCACCATTAGCTTGTAAGAAATGCATTCAGAGTATGACTTCTCTCGAACACAGAGACAGGAAGACAAAGTCACTGTCGAAAAATGAAGCCTCCGTATTACGACCTTGCGATACATCGACCGAAAGGGGTTATAAGGTGACTGCCTGCAGTACGTACTTGAGCTCTATTCCATTCGGTCAAAACTTTCCGGAGTCGCTTCGCTAATTCGTAACTTATCACAGAATAATCCGCACCAGTATCGATCAAAGCATTGAGTTCTAGTCCGTCTATCATCAACGGCAAGTCTGAATTAATTTTCTTTCTACTGCACTCCTTTACCTGGAAACAATCGTCGTCACGCTCGTATCGCAGTGGAGGATCTTCATATCCAAGGTTGCCCTCTTGAGTTTCCCGGATTTGGGCTAGACGAACGATGCCTAGACGCGCTTGGGAAGGGACGTGGGCTGGACGAGCGGTAGCGCATAGGGGATGGTGAGTGCGGTCGAATACGTAGAGGCAGGTCGAAATTCCGACGTGAGCATAAGTATTCTTCAATCTCGGAAGGTCTTTCGCCGTTTCACGAACACGGCGCATTGATGGCGAATCCCCAAGATTAGCTTGACTATATTAGCAGAATCGGTACAGGTGGCCAGCTTCTCCGCAGTGGAAGCACAAGGGCCTACGTGCGGCATCTCGCCATACATCGCTCTTCCGTGGCATGGTCTCTGTCGCACGAGGTGGAGTGCGTGCTGCTTCTACGATTTCAGGCAAGCTGCGCCTTGTCTGCACATAAGTACTTGGTGTCTCGATCGGCACACAGTGCAGAGCAGGTCGCCTGAGCACCTCAGAGTACGTTGCCGCCACCGTCGTGTCGCTGGCACATCACTACACGGCTCCCGCCTGGCCTGCCGAATTTCTCCTCGGACAACTTCAGCAAGAGACAGCTGGGGGGTGACATCAGGTGACTGCAATTTCCTCAATACCTCTCTGACAACAGACCGGACGAGCTCCCGCAATGTGTCAAGATTATCCACGACGCCTGCTGAGTAGACTCCTGCTGATGCACCGGCTATGTCACGGCTGTACCGTTGGGCTCTCAGCTGCAGCGCCGTTTTGATGATTGTTGCTTCCGACCAAAACTCAGCAACAGTATGGGGCAGATCCCGAACGAGTCTCGCGAACAACTCTTGCTTTACCCCGTGCATGAGGTGGGGCACCTTCTTGCTTTCTGTCATGCTGAGATCAGCTCGCTTGAAAAGGCGGGAGATATCTTTGATGTACATCGCGACCGTTTCGTTCGTTTGTTGATTCCGTCTACGAAGAGCTGCTTTCGCCTTTTCCCGGCGATCACTGTTGTCAAACGTACTCAGTAGCTGCCGCCAAAACTCTTGCCTTGACGCTAGAGATGCCTCGTGGTTTTCGTAAACACTTGCGCAGAGTCTTCCAATGCAATGTAGGTGTTGCGCAGCTTGCCCTCCTCGTTCCACTAATTTAGATTTCTCACTCTGACAATGCTCGAAGCAGTCTTCGGCGTCCTCGTATGGGTCACTGTGAAACACCTTTGGAATGACAGGTTGGCTTACGATGAGTTGTCCCGGCGTAATTTGGCTCGTCATAGTGATGGTGGCACTTGTCTCCAACACCGATGTCCTTGAGACAGAAGGAAGTGGTCCGAATTCTGGCGATTCTCCTCAGATACGACGGCTTTGATGCTTTGATTCTAATTTAAATGACTGAAAATGTGTCAAAATGAACAAATAAGTGTAATTAGTATATATGTAAGCTCCTGTAAAGGTGGTTTCACTGCAGAAAAGAAGTGTTCAACTATGAAACGCTAGCGAAATCCAGACTGTTGTGGAACTCTACTTCGATGTTAAATAAACATTACTCTCACACCCATTCATAATTTTTTAAATTGAAAAGCTTGTTATACCACTTTATGTGCTATATGTATAATAAATTTTAAATGTAACATATTTTGCAGGTCAATATTTGCATTCTATTGAAAGTAAAATTCTGCTACTATAGTTTAAGTTGTTTCCACTTCCTCTGCAGAAAGAAGCATGCCATATGCGTAGGCCACCTTATGGCACAAATATGTGCTTTGAAACATGAGAGTGTCAGCGCTGGCAGTAGCCACGACGGTGCTGACTGCAATGACTGCCACCATAGCTTAGTAGTATCAGACGCCTTATTCGATGGTTGCAGATTCGGTCCCTGCCCATGTCAAGTCATTTTTGCGTCCACTTTTCTTCTTTCACATTACATTACATTTACCCCTAACCACCCATATATTTTCCTCGGCATTATTCCCTTTGTTCTCATTAATATTGTGTCTAACAAAAAAAAATGAGCCCTTAAAATTGACAATTTTTTACTATATATGAGGCTTGCAGCAAAAGCACCAAAGCGTTCCAATTTTCAAGAATGTCAAAAAAAATCAGCCATTGACTGCATGTGTGAAAAAAGAACACAGAATGAGAAAGGTTCATATGCGCTGCTAATCGATGGTTTGGGAAAAGTGTTCCAAATTTGCTACACCACTTTCTCTGCGACATACAGTTGAACACATTTTTAAGAGACATGCACAGGGCAGCAATTATTGCCTCTTATATGAGGTGTCTCTTACCAACAGGGTATCACGTATGCATTTTTTTATCATCACCTATTTCAATGTAGGCACAGTTGTGTCTCTTTTACGAATTTGTCTCTTAAATCAGTGTCTCTTACACAGGGGTTTAACTGTATGAGAAAGTAATACGCCTGGAAAGATTCATTCATTACTTATGATGCTAATGATATGTATAAGGCTTCCCTGAGCTATGGCAGAGTTCTTATCACTTCAAAAACATTGTGCGAGCAGCTCACCCATAAAATAAGGCACCCAAAAGCAAACATGTCACTGGCAGGTGTTGGCTCCATCGCATTGAGAGTGCGCAGCTCCGGCGCAGTAAAATCAATAGCGCCAGCCACAGGCAGCTGCAGATTGTTGCCCTGCAAACCACATTTACAAAAAGAGGTACTATGTACAGGCCAGTGCAGATTTTCATTACAAGTTTTCAGAGTGGAAATTACATAATTGAAATTTCAGTAATAACGTGCTTTTAAAGAGCCAAACAAAAAAAGCTAAAAAGTATACATAAAGACAGCTCCTCATTTTTTTTCAGACGGGGGTCAAACTGGTCAGTATATTAGAATTTTCTTAACAGCAGTCCATCTGCCCAATAACAGCAATTTATAAACCAGCCATTAAGCAATTATTTCCCGTTAGAAATGTTCACACAGGCTTACAAAGGCTGGCATCTGTCAATGTTAAAAAAAAAAAACAGAGAGAGGAACAATTCAGTTTCCTGAAGTAAATTATGAGCCAGCAATACTAAAAACACCACTGCTACTCTAGAAGACAAGAAATAAGCCAATAAACATGAGTCAAAAAAAGCAAACACAGGTGTTGCTGCCATCAAGAGGGCCTCAATTGTGATCAATAAAAACTATGGACCATCTCTCCAAAGGAAACCCTGATGAGATGTAAAGCAGCAGCAGTATGCACGGCGTTGACCCGATGGAAACGGCGTCAACGCAAGTGCTGAAAGAACGATTTGAAGCGAACCTCGGTGTAGGTCTTACTCGAGTACACAATTGTTTGAAACCCAAAGACACAGGAGAAGGGACGCGTTGCAGATGCTTGCGTTCAGCTTCCTTGGCTTGCATCTCGTCGGTGTTACCAGCACACCATCTGTATTCCCAAACGTGATCGATGTTCTTGACTCGCACTTCGTTGGTGACGCTGTTCTTCCACTGCAGACACTTGCGTTCGGCTTCCCTGTCTCGTGCCTCATCGGTGTTGACGTTGCCATTCGCGAACGCGATCGGCTTTGCTTAGCCTCGCAACTCTGGCGACATCCGAGAAATGTACTCGCACACTAGCGGGAGTTATGTCGCAACAGCATCCTGCCCATCGGCGCGATTGCGCTGTCCACATTGTTGGCGCTGCCAGATTTTCGAGGCGCGCGCACCGCCGGCTCGCGGTTTTTTCTCGACGACAGATGGAGAGAGGTGACGCGACTAAGATGATGACCACGTGAGGTG